GCTGTTCTAAAACCTTGCACACAGAGTTGAGATCAAACTAACTGGCCTATAATTTCCCAGTTCACTTTTTTCCCCTTTCTTAAATATAGGAATTATATTTGCAAACCTCCAGTCATAGGGTATGACAAATTCCTTAAAAATCCTTGCTATTGAGCTTGCAATTTCATGTGCCAATTCCTTTAATATTGTTGGATGGAGATTATCCAGGCCCCCAGTTTGGTCTCATTAAGCCGTCTGAGTTTGGCTTCCACCTTAAATGTGGTAATTTATACTTCCATACCCTTTTTCCCATTAACCACCCTGCCACTGTCCACAAGCTCCTCATTACCATTATTAAAAATGAAGGAAAAGTATTTGTTTAGGTGTTAGGACATACCTAGATTGTCTTTAATGTCCACGTCATCCTCAGTGCTTAGCATCCTGCTTCCTTTTTCCTTGTTTTATTTTTATTTATATGTCTAAAGAACCATTTACTTTGGATTTGGATTTACCATTTACTATTGGTTTGAATTTCCTTTGCAAGGTCCCACTCTGCTTGGCTTTTGGCAATTCTCACATTTTCCCTATACTTTCTGACCTCCAAGAGGTAACTTTCCTTGCTGATCCATCCCTTCTTCCATTCCTTGTAGGCTTTCTCATAACTTCTTTGAGATGCTTGTTTTATCCAGTTTGGTCTGCATTCCTTCCCTACGAATTGTTTCCTTTTGCTTGGGAATGCAGGCTCCAGATAGTTTCTGCAATTTTGACTTTAAATAATTCCAAGCCTCTGCCTCCTTTGCATTCTGATCCTTAAATTCTTCAGTCCAGTCCACTTCCCTAATTCATTCCCTTAATTTTGTAAAGTTTGCCCTTTGAAATCAAGGACCCTAGTTGCAGACTTACTTCTGTTTATCCTTCCATTTAGTGTAAACTGAATTAACTCATGATCACTCAAACCAAGGCTGTCCTCTACGACCAGTTCTTCTGAGAGGACCTCGCTACTTATCAACACCAAATCTAAAATGACATCACCTTTTGTTGGTTTGGTGAAGAAATCTAACGGTTTTAACATACAGGAATACCGGGGCCTTACCATTATTAGTAGCAGTTGTCTTCCAATCTGTACTGGGAAATTAAAGTCTCCCATAATCACACAATCCCCAGTAGTATTTATTTCATTAAAAATATTAAAGAGATTTCTATCTATATCCAGATCAGATCCTTGGGATTTGTAGCAGACCCCAAGGACTATCCTAGTGGAGCATCTGTTTTCTTTCTTCCCCAAAGTGATTTTGACCCAAACAGACTCCATCACTTCTAATTTCTTTATGATCTACCTTGTCATTAATATACAAGGCTACTTCACCACTGTTGGCTTTATTTCTATCTTTCCTAAACACACATACACTTCAATACCTGTATTGCAGTTATGCCTACTGTTCTACCATGTTTCTATTATCCCTATGACTTCCAGTTCCTCCATTTTGTTATCCAGGCTTCTTGCATTGGTGTGCAGTCATCTTAGCAGTTTCTGCTTGGCTTCACTCAGATTCCTCGCTCAGGTACAGTCATTTTACTACCAGTGTCACCTACCTGACAATAGCGGTCAGTGGTATTGTCACTATCTTTCCTCTTGATGTCCAATCCCCTATCCTCTGTTGTTCTTTTCTCCATTGTTGTATCCTCTTTTAATTGATTTTCCTCCTGTTCAATATTAGAATCAGGCATGGAGATTACTTGAGCGTCTCCCCCAAATTACTAGTTTAAAGCTCTTTTAATCAGTTGTGCTAACCTCCCAGAAGTCTGTTTCCCCCCACTCAAGCAGAGTCCATCCCATGAGAAACAGTCCTGTGTCCATGAATGCCACCCAGTGGTTGAACATCCCATAGCCCTCCTTATAGCACCATTGCCTGAACCATCTGTTAATCATCATAAACTTTCATCTACTCCACTTTCCTTCTCTCAAAACTCAGGTTCCTGGGCCTCCTGATGTAAATTTTTACAGAGATTTTCCTAAGCCATGT